TGAGATGAAAATATGTTATAATGGCGCGTAGAAAGAACAACAATAAGATGGACCTACAATATTATTGATTATTTGCAAATAGTAACTATGGAGACGAGGTAATAAAATAAAAATCAAGTCGAGAACAACAACAAAATTTTATAAACGAAAACCTCTCGCCGAGCATTGGCTATTATATTATTTCCTGTCAATGTTCCCATCTTCATTAAAAGGCGTAAGATGACAACAATCAAATATATTTTCTTGAATTATGAATAGCACGAATGGATTGAAATATTTAATTAAATTATCTTAAAATAAATCTTCATTTCGGTGCAATATTGAAATTATTTTGAATTCTTCATAACCTCAGAATAGTGGGTGACCCAACGGGTCACAGTGGTCTAGATAGAAACAGAATAAAACAAGTTTCGTTAAAATCGGGTTACCGAGTTAGCGCCGTTTTTCGGGTCACTTTATGTACATTCCATTATTATAAAACTTCGTTTTCCACCTGATGAATCACTTTAAAATATCTTCTGTACAACAATATATGCACAACAAAAATTCAATGATGAGATGAAAATGTGATATATCGGCGCGAAGAAAGAACAACAATAAAATGAACCTACAATATTATTGACTATTTGCAAACAGTAACTATGGAGACGAGGTAATAAAAATAAAAATCAAGTCGAGAACAACAACAAAATTTTATAAACGAAAACCTCTCGTCGAGCATTGGCTATTACATTAATTCCCTGTCAATGTTCCCATTAAAAGGCGTAAGATGACAAAAACGAGATCTTGAAGAATCTACTAAAACTCTGAGATTGTTTGTTTGCTTATTTTCTCAGTCAAAAAATCATTCGCTGTGAAACAGTGAGAAAGATTTTTCGTTTGGTGAATTTTGTAGTGTATGAGTTATCAAGTTTTGCTGTTTCTTGCAGTAATTTGAGCAAGTAAGTATGAAATGCTTTTCTGAAATAGCTTTTTTTTTCGTTTGTTTGTTTTTTATAGCAATTACGTTCTAATAAACCATGAATATCATTACTATTATCTGTTATTTCTAATTTTCAGGCGTTTTGAATCAACTGTGAATAAGGTTTGTTCATCACAATACCTTAAAACTCTGACTTTACTTTTTTGAAAAATGAAACGGTCTTTCCTTGTACTCCCGATCAACAACCTGTAATTAAATACAGATTAAAACGGCGCACAATAGCGCCATATTTGTAAGAATACGGTACCCCTGAAATGACAATAGAAAGAGAATTAAACAAGTTTCGTGAAAATCGGGCCACGGGTTACCGAGTTGGCGCCGTTTTTTCGGGTCACTTTTATGAACATTTCTAGCATGAGTAATTTTACATCACACCACCGTTCGCACATTTACGAAACTTCTTACTTCACTTTTTTAAAAAAATGAAATGGTCTTACCTTTTACGCCCGATCAAGAATCAAACATCTTTTCTTGAATTATGAGTAACACGAATGGATTGAAATGTTTAATTAAATTATCTCAAAATAAACCTTCATTTCGGTGCAATATTGAAATTATCTTGAATTCTTCATAACGGGTCACGATGGTCTAGTTTATAACAGAATAGTAAACTTGTAATTGTTTATAGATTATTCAGTTCTTTCTCTTGATATACAGGTAACACATCATCTACAATATCCTCCAGGAACCACAACAGTCTACTCTTACTTTGAGAGTCGAGGAGGAACATTTCCATATACTGTGTTCTTCGGGTTACAGTATATCCTGAAGAGGTGGCTAGTTGGACCTGTGATCACAGAGAGTAAGATTCAGGAAGCTAAAGAAATCTGCCAGATCCATTTTAGACAGAATATATTCAATGAAGAAGGATGGAGACATATTTTGAAGGTATAGTCAGGAACTTATGGGGTGTTCAAGATTTCCATAAATCTATCCAAACTGAACTTTAATTGTCCTTGAATTTATACGTTCTAGGACCTCTCATTTGAAGTCTTGAAAAAGCAAAATAATGTTTTCTTTGCAGAGTGATAAGACATGGGAATGGTGACCAAGTTTAATATAGTATATGTGCCTATAATATATATATATATGTGTGTGCGTGTGAAAGGCTATATTAAGATGCCCTTTTTTTTTGCTCTTTTGTTTCTGTTAATTTGCTGTATACAAGCTAAGAAATGAAACGAATCTGTTGCAGTAAGTCCGGAAGATTGATTTAAGAAATTGAAAACTGAAAGACTGAATTGGTTAATTTAGAAATAAGGAAATTTTAATTACTGTTGCTTAAATTGGACTCGTTACTGTTGCGTCAGCGAGGTCACGTGACTAGTATCACGCCACTTCTTTTTCGAACCTTCGGGAGATTACTAGATTGGGGGTAGTCTGGTATGTATAAGATGGTCACAACGTGACGGAACAATGTGTAGGTAGTGAGTAATTGATCTGCAGTCAGAGAGTATTGTTGAAGTTAACGTTCGTTGTTATAGTGTTTGTTTTAGCGCGATTGTTGAAATTAAGTGTATGTAAAGTTATATTCAGAAAGAATAAACCAGTTATATTTAAGAAAGGACTTGTGTCGCTAAAGTTTCGTCGGAACGAATTTACGGGAAATCAATTAACGACTGGAGGCGTAACACGTTACTAGTTATTATGGTTAGTAGCTTTTATGATCACCTTAAATTAATTATTAATTATTTAATTCTTTTTAGTTACAAGATACTAACAACTTTTTATCCTAGTAATGGAAAAATAATTAATAATTAGATTTTAAGTATATAATATTCTTCATTTGTGAAACTTGTGGATATTACTATGGAATATATTGTTACGACAACGGAAGTTACGTGACGCTGGTAACACGTAAGGAGTTCTAAGAAAGATCGGGGAACATCACGAATAATCCAGTATTTGCTAGGCGCCCTCTA